TTTTTTTTTCTTTGTAATCATGCAGAGCGATGGCTGTTTACAATCGGACAAATAAGAATATTTCTTTGAAAGTTTATTTAATATTCATTTGGAAGACTGAAAAGGGGTTTTACAGTTATTTTTTCAATACGACCAATCGGTCTAGTTCACAAACATTTTACACGACTCGACCAGTCATTTACTAGACTGGGTCTGTTGGACATGCCTTAGTGTCAAACCCGTACAAAATTTGTGATATATTTCATATTTAGAGAGGTTTTGATTTTGTTTAGTTATAAAATGAAGAGGGGAAGGCAGATATCCATACAGATGATGTATCCTACAGAAAAATCAGTGATATATAATATCTGTGAAATATCTTTTAAAAACCATTAGATCATATTGCCTTTCAAATACCTGTGCAAAACTTATCAAATAAAAACCTATTCTTTCGAATTGTTACTGTGGTTCATTTTCACTTAATTCATCAGTTTAATAGAATGCCAAAAAGCTGCAAAGAAACATCACCGAAATGTCTTAGCTAATCTGTCATTCATGTTTTTGAAGACGCATTTAATTATTTCCTGTGGAAACTAATTTCTATAATTTTCTCTAAAAAAATTATTTGCTCTAAATTGAAAGCATATTCCAGTACTTTTGTCAGACTGGAAAATTAATCTCTTCCATTCAAAACTGGAAATCTAAATTTTTCAGATATATTTCATTGTGGAACAAACTTTTTAACACCCTTTACTACAATATTTAAAACATATCTAGGAAGTCTGTCATGACCTGCCTTTTCTATTGCTTCTCAATTCACATATACATTTATTCTCGATATAATTATGATGACCTACATTCAACACAACGGCAGCCTCTGGTCAGAGCCGTAATATAAGCGTCCACTCGACTTGGTCCCTTCAACTGGTCCTCAATCAAGTATCTACAACATACACACATACAGTACAGTCAGTATCTACAACATACACACATACAGTACAGTCAGTATCTATAACAGACACACATACAGTACAGTCAGTATCTATCACAGACACACACAGTACAGCCAGTATCTATAACAGACACATGTACTGTACAGTCAGTATCTACAAGGGACACACATACAGTACAGTCAGTATCTATAACAGCCACACATACAGTACAGTCAGTATCTATAACAGACATACATACAGTACAGTCAGTATCTATAACAGACACACATACGGTACAGTCAGCATCAACAACATACATACATACAGTACTGACAGTATCTATAACAGACACACATACAGTACAGTCAGTATCTATTAAGACACACATACAGTACTGACAGTATCTATAACAGACACACATACAGCACAGTCAGTATCTACAACATACACACATAAAGTACTGACAGTATCTATAACAGACACACATACAGCACAGTCAGTATCTATAACAGACACACATACAGTACAGTCAGTATCTACAACATACACATACACAGTACTGACAGTATCTATAACAGACATACATACAGTACAGTCAGTATCTATAACAGATACAATAGTCAGTATCTATAACATATACATATATACAGTATAGTCAGTATCTACAACAGACACACATACAGTACAGTCAGAATCTATCACAGACATACATACAGTATGGTCATTATCAACAACATTAGATATAGAAACATGGGTAGATTTCTTTAATTGCATATATGGAATACTACCATACACCACTACAAAGCATTTTATACATTTTATAACAATCTGGATATACAGTTTAACTTCTGTATTTCAATCGTCGATATCTTAAACACCATGGATATGTAAAGGTGAGCTGAAAGTCCCAACCACTTTTTATGCCCCCGTAATTGAAGATTCCAGGGTATATAGTTTTTGCCCTGTCCGTCCGTCTGTCTGTGTATCTGTTTGTACGCAAAAACTTTAATAATGCCCATATCTTTTGATTAGTTGGAGGTATGGCTTTCATATTTCACATGCGTATTCCTTATGACAAGACGTTCCTTTGGGTACCAACATATTTGACCTCTTGACCTTGATTTTGGAGTTTGACCCACTTTTGCAAAAATTTACCCAACTTTAACTTTGGCCATAACTTTTGAACAGTTGGTGCAAGGGCTTTCACATCTCACATTTATATTCAATATTTTTGACCTTGACCTTATAGTTTGAACCACTTTTAAAACAAGAGGCCCATGGGCCTTGAATCGCTCTTCTGATAAACTGTACAACCTATCACTTCTATTTGAAGTATCCTGTATATTTACATAAACCCTTGAAATTCCAATTCACACTCTGAGAACCCAAGATGATTCTAAGCCAATTAGTACCTGAGAGTTGGTCATGATGACCTACTTATCACTTGTCATTCTCTGAGGACCCATCAACTAAGTTTGATGATTCTAAGCCATTAATACCTAAGATATTTTTTAAAATTATAATCATAAAATTTTATAAGTAGGTCAAAGTGACCTACTTTTCAATTGTTTTACTCCAAGGACACAAGATGCATCAACTGACAAAGTTTGATGATTCTAAGCCAATTAATACCTGTAATATTTAATCAAAGCCATAAATTTTTCAAAAGTAGGTCACCATGACCTACTTTTCAGTTGCTGTACTCCGAGGACCAAAGATACATTGACTGACAAAGTTTGATGATTCTAGCCAATAAGTACCCAAAATATTTAATTAAAGCCATAAATTTTCAAAAGTAGGTCACAGTGACCTACTTTTCAGTCAACCTACTCCGAGGACCAAAGATGCATCAAGTGACAAATTTTGAAGATTCTAAGCCAAATAATTCCTGAAAATATTAAATACAGCCATAAAATTTCAAAAGTAGGTCACCGTGACCTACTTTTCAGTTGTTGTACTCCGAGGACCCAAGACGCATCAACTGACAAAGTTTAATGATTCTAAGCCAATTAGTACCCGAAATATTTTATTAAAGCCATAAATTTTCAAAAGTAGGTCACCCTGACCTACTTTTCAGTTGTTGTACTCCGAGGACCCATGACGCATAAACTGACAAAGTTTTATGATTCTAAGCCAATTAGTACCCGAAATATTTTATTAAAGCCATAAATTTTCCGAAAGTAGGTCACCGTGACCTACTTTTTAGTAGACCTACTCCGAAGACCCATGACCCATCAACTGACAAACTTTGATGATTCTAAGCCAATTAGTACCCGAAATATTTAATTAAAGCCATAAATTTTCAAAAGTAGGTCACAGTGACCTACTTTTTAGTCAACCTACTCCGAGGACCAAAGATGCATCAACTGACAAAGTTTGATGATTCTAAGCCAATTAGTACCCGAAATATTTAATTAACGCCATAAATTTTCAAAAGTAGGTCACTGTGACCTACTTTTTAGTCGACCTACTCCGAAGACCCAAGATGCATCTACTGACAAAGTTTGATGATTCTAAGCCAATTAGTACCTGAAATATTTAATTATAGTCATATAAATTGAAAAGTAGGTCACAGTGACCTACTTTTCAGTCAACCTACTCCGAGGACCCAAGATGCATCAACTGACAAAGTTTGATGATTCTAAGCCAATTAGTACCCGAAATATTTAATTAACGCCATAAATTTTCAAAAGTAGGTCACTGTGACCTACTTTTTAGTCGACCTACTCCGAAGACCCAAGATGCATCTACTGACAAAGTTTGATGATTCTAAGCCAATTAGTACCTGAAATATTTAATTATAGTCATATAAATTGAAAAGTAGGTCACGGTGACCTACTTTTCAGTTGACCTTTTTTGAGGACCCAAGATGCATCAACTTACAAAGTTTTATGATCATAGGACTTAAAATGTCCAAATTATGCCTCTAAAACGCTTTGAAATCAAATGCCTGCAAAGTTCAAAAAGTAGGTCACTGTGACCTACTTTTTAATAAATATGTTTTATGGCCCCAAGATGCATCATCTTACAAGATTTAATGATTCTAAGCCTCGCAGTATTCAAATTAATGACCTTAATTGTTTTTAAAAAGATTAGCCATAAAATTCAAAAAGTAGGTCAAGGTGACCTACTTTTTAGTTGACGTACTTTGAGGACCCAAGATGCATCAATTGACAAAGTTTGATGATCATAGGCCTTAAATTGTTCAAAATATGCCTCTAAATCATTTTGAAAAAGAATGGCCGCAAAATTTAAAAGTAGGTCACTGTGACCTACTTTTGAGTCAACATGATATGAGGTCCTTAGATGCACCAACTGACAAGATTTGATGATCCTAGTCCTTATAGTAAGCAAAATATCAACATTTTAATAAAATGTAATTTTTTGTCAACTTTGAAGTGACCTTGAGACCACGCCCTTTGCCCCAGGGTAAATCCCCGTGCAAATTTTAATCTACAACATATCCTCATCCTTTTGTGTAAGTTTGGTGATAATCTGCCCAGTGGTTCTTGAGAAGAAGATTTTTTAGCAACCAGTACTTTTGTTTCTATTTTCCTAATTATCTCCCCTTGTTAAAGGGTCACAACCCCAGTTTTAGTATAAAAGGGAGCCCTTGGGCCAAGGATACCCTGTGACAAATTTGACAATTATTGGCCAAGGGGTTCTTGAGTTATGGCCCATATTCTAAAAAGTTTACGCACACCGCACACCGCACAAATGGCCATAGCATTAGCTCTTTGAGCCTTTGGCTCAGAAGAGCTAAAAATCAACCTTGGCCATAACTTTTGACAGTTAGTACAAGGGCTTTCAAATTTCACAGGTATATTCCTTGTGACAAGACCTTCTTTGGATACCAACAATTTTGACCTTGACCTTGGAGTTTGACCTACTTTTGAAAAACTTTAACCTTCTCCATAACTTTTGAACAGTTGACACTAGGACTTTTATATTTTGCATGAGTATTTCTTATTACAAGGCCATCCCCTGTGTACCATTAATTTTTACCCTTTGACTTCGATGTTGGAGTTTGACCCAATCTTAGAAAACATTATCTTTGACCATAACTTTTAAATGGTTGGTGCTTGGGCTTTCATATTTACCAGGTATATCCATTGACACAAGTCCTTTCTTTGGGTAACAAATTTTTGATCTCTGGATCTTGACATTGGAGTTTGACTTCCATTTAAGAAACTTTAACTTCGCCATAAGCTGTCATCATACAAAGACTTTAGACTTTTTAAAAATGTGCTCAAATTACTGTTAAAATAGAAAAAATGACTATTTTCTTGTCTTTTTATCCATCAGTATCATGTATCTATCATTATATAACTTACGTGTTATGGGAAGAGCTAATGTAGTAGTTGATAATGGGTTGGGTCATGTCCTGATAGACACGCCGGTGTACAGGGTTAAATAACTGCTGGTTATGACTGGCAAGAAGTGTTCTGAATCCTGAAAAACATTTCGATAATACAACAGAAAGGCTCATTGATTTATTGAAGAGATGAAGTTGTAATAATCTACCATCTACATGGAAATCTACCTAAAATCTTTGTATTTTAAATTGCCCACAAAGTTTTAACAGCGATTATGAAAGAAATTGACAATATTTTAAGGGCAGCAGAGCTTATAATGAGATTCTGATAACAGGTACTTGTGAGGATGTTATCAATGGAATGCTTTCAAATAACATATATTAAATCTCCCTACCAACTTGTGAAAGTATTAGCATGCAAGCAGAAATCAATTTTTCTTTTACATGGCCTAATAAAGCTTCAAAATGTATTTTTCTAAAAATTATTTAGTCCATCATGTTTTGATGAATATGAAAGTAATATGCCGTGCAATATTTTTGGAAAAATGCTTTAACTAAAAAAAACCTTATATAATATACCAATAGCCCTCTCGTTAAAATAAATATTACCAATAGGACTTAGTTGGTCTTCTAGCTGTAGCTGTTTCTGAGGTTCAAATGCTGCAATCAATTCCTTGGACTGGTCCTCTGTTAAATCCAGCTATCAAAAAAATGTTTTCCAAATAAAAGATGATTTGTACTATTCAAGTAAATAATCTTTCTATTAATCTATCAAACTTTTGCTGTGCTTCACATATATAAAGACCTTTACTCATCATATGTAAGAATGTTATATTTTTTATGATAAGAAAAACCAAATGGACAGGACAAAGGTTACAGAGTTAAAAAGTTTAAAACGACTTGGCCAAAGTTCAAGATTGTTAGTGTGCTTTTACAGAGACAGGTACACATTCATATACATCATTCATATACATGTAATATCATATACATGTAATATCATATACATGTAATATCATATACATGTAATATCATATACATGTGATATAATATGATATCATAAACATGTAATATGATATTACATGTATATGATATTACATGTATATGATATCACATGTATATTACATGTATATGATATCACATGTATATGATATTACATGTATATGATATCACATGTATATCATATACATGTGATATCATATACATCTGATATCATATACATGTAATATACATGTGACATCATATACATGTAATATACATGTGATATCATATACATGTAGTTTCATATACATGTAATATCATATACATGTGATATCATATACATGTAATATACATGTGATATCATATACCGGTACATGTAATATCATAAACATGTGATTACATATATATGCAATACCTTTTGTTCATGGTAAAAGAATTTGCAGAGATCTGTAAAGGTCCAGTAGCCTTTTCCATCATCATACTTCATAAATATTTCATCTATTTCTGGCCTCTCTGTTAACATGTGATAAAACTTGACAAATTCCTCGGCATCCAACACAGGTTTGCCATAGGTTTTTGTTGTATCTGCTTTCTACAAAATACATTGTACAATAGGTTTAACATGCAGTAATCTCTTCTTACAATACTTACGATTTTTTCCCTTCAATATTTTAAACATATACAGTAGAAGAACATTAAAGCATTAAAGAGCTCTCACATCAAACAGTGTCTGGACATATTTTTTATCCATGTCTGCATTCAACTGCTTCAGCAACTTGAGAATTTCCTCAAAGTCAAGACTTCCATCATTGTTCTTGTCAGCCATTCGGAAGGCTTCTTTGATCCATGTAAAACCAGATAAGGAAGCAAAACATATGTACTCAAGATCTCAAAGGATTATATTTACTAATATATCTTATTAAATTCACATAAACTACAGACTCTCTGAGCAAGCTCACAAGATGGTACCCGTTAATTAAGCTTCTTTCTTTTCCTGAGGAATCTTAGCCTTGGGTCACGTTAAAACACATTCTTATATTTATGTGTGCATTTGTCATGTTTGTATGCATAATATAGGACCTAACTGGCAAGTTCACAATTTTTTAGCCAGTGATCCTGAATTTCTTTAAATGACCTTAAGTCAGGTCACTAAATACTACATTCTTTATCAAGTGTAAGATTTAAATTTTGCTCCAAAACAAATTCATGAAACACACAAGTGTACCCAATACACAATTTTTCCCTTCAACTGACCTTGAACTTGCCCAAATAACCTTTGAGTCAATGTCTTAAAACACTCTCAGTTCATATGCTTTTTTCCTTAACAATAAGATCCTTTTTTTCAATTAAGTTATAGGCCACACCAAAATTTTACACTTTTTCTCTCTCAGTGATTTGAACTTGCCTAAATGACATTGAATTAAGGTCATGACAAACACATATAAAAGCAGCTACTGCTTCAGATTTGGACCCCAAGGGTTACTCAAAGTGACACCTAAGTGACCTTAAACAGAGTCTGTACTAACAGATAGGCACTACGCACTTCTTGTTCGCAGGGAGTTTTATATTAGTTTTTACTCAAATAATACTTTTACTAACTTGAATAATAAATGAAGTAATTGATTACCACTAGATTATATGACAATTAATTCACATAACAATAAGGATCTTTATGTATGGCATTCTCATTTTTCAAAAGTGGGTCTCAACTTACTGACTCATTTAATTATTATATTATTATTCATGATTATTAACAATTCAAATTCATATGATATTCTTAGTGCAAAAATACAACCTAAAAGGAACAGACTTAAAATTTTAAGAAAAAAAGGACACTTATTCTGGTAAACATTAAACTATATGATGTTAGAACTACTTCATAAAAAGGATATCGGTCAGTCTGTTGTTTTTGATCCATGTACTGTTCCATATGGAGAGCGAATCGGAGACCTTTGACCCAGTCATCTCTCAGTTGATGAGACTCAGTCATTAAGTGTAGAACTTCATGATTAGTACCAACCACTACAGCAAAACACTGCCCTCTCTGGAAAGAAAACCTATACATCAGATTAACATGTAAATTCAATCTATGATACATAAGGTATTTAAAGATAGAGTCATTATAGTGGTCAATTGTGGTCCAATCTAACAACAAATCATTAAATCGGACACAGCTTCACTATAGCTAGCTAAATTGTTTCACATGACACCACTTCAATTATTAGACCATGAAATATGGAGATAACGAACAGAAATCAGGCTCTAAATCCAGTAAAACAATAGAAATTGCGAGCAGAGCAGACACGGACCTCTAAAAGCATCAGAGGTGAGATCAGGTGTCCTGGGGGAGTAAGCATCCCCTATCGACATGTCACACCCACCGTGTGCTCATTGTCAGACTTGGGCAAATGGAAAAATTCGTACACAATTAATTGTTTAATTGGAATGTGTGAAATGATGACTTTAAACAAGACTGTTGATATCATTGTTTCATCAACTTGTTTGTCAATATTTTGCCTCGTTGTCATGGAGCATGCTCTTACATATTGAATCAAATGGGAGATATATACCCCACATGCAGGTGATAAGGGTATACTGCTATATAAATAAGGGAAGATGATGATAGCAAAATTGAAGTCATCATGTTTATCATAAAGTTTTGTCGTTAGGTTACCATTAACATCTTTTTCTAGTATATATATCCAAATATGAAACAGATGTGTCAGACTCTGTGGTATCTTTTATTTCAAGTTCACTGGGATATAACTGAAGTCCAAGAATGAATGAAAGTAACTATTGTTAATTTATAATATATTGATATTTCTAAATGTTGCATTGAAAACCACAGCAAGTGTCTTCTTCAACTCGTGTATAAGTTTTTTAATAAATTTTGCTTCATTATATTGAATACAAAAATAGGTCGATCTGCTAATTACAGGAATTCCAACAGATGGTTGAACACCTGATCTCTCTAAAAACTACATAGATATTGTCAATCAGAAACTCAAGCATCTTTTTAATATCTACTTCAGAGTACTTGTGTGTACAATCAGAATGATTTATAAACAAAAGTTTTGCAAATGACCAATGACAAGGTAAGTAAATCTATGAGTTCTATTTTTATTTTAAAAAAAAGCAGCTAATAAAGTGTTGAAAAATCGTACATTTTGATGTTACAGATTTAAACTAGGTAAAATTTTGTGATTTCAGATTTCAGACCATGTAAGCAATTATAATTTATATGCAATTTTAATTTAATATCAGCAAGGATATCCTACATTCTTTTAAAGATTTCAAATCTTGGTATTCCTAGGAAATAGAAATTCTGCAGACATTTTTATTTGAAATCTGGCATAATTTTTCTAAGTTTGCAGTCTTGTAACTGCAAGCCATTAAAAGCCCATTGTGTCCTCGTGTTGTATATGTAAACATGATCTAACACAATCAGGAGTTACTTCCCCCTGACAAATATTTCGGCCTACACCTTTAAGGTGTAAGGCAATTACCATTTGACTGTTCAAACAAAACCGTTTGTAATGAATTTGCACACATTTAAAATTCCTCTATCACACAGAACTCATGAAAAAGCTTTGTTTACTCTACTGTTGTGATGTACATGTCATTGAAAGTCTTGACCAATGCTGTATACATTTACATCAATAATTTCAAACATTTACACACCCTACACTCACTAGTCCACTCCCTGTCTGGACATTTTCACCAGAATGAGTGAATGACAATTCTTTTTTATTAATATCAGACTGACAGAAGCTACCTATATCTTAAGAACCTCTATTTTATCTAAGTTGCAGATGAGGGGTTTGGAATGTCTTAATATATATCAGAACAATTAACTTTCAAAAATTGTTTGTAACCAAATGATTCTGAAATGTTTTAGTAATATCATGCATTAAGCAATGAGTCATTTCCCATGAATGCTTCATTCTAATGCACACTTGAATTCTCTGAAAGCATAACATGAAGATAATAAAAAGAGCAAGTGTATCTGAAGCAAATGAGAAAATTATCATCAATATATGTTAATGGAGCATTTATGATTCATTGGTATAAATATAATGTTATGAAAATATACAGGGTGTTTCAAACTTTTAGAAGTATATTTAGTTACTCCAGGAAATGGTTCTATATATGCAACAAAATAAATAAATAAATAAAAAGAGATAATAATGACTTAATTGTGCGACTGCCACCACCACCATTTCAAGCAGCCCTGCCAAAGGGACAGATATTACTGTCACATGATTAATCCCTGCTATTGGTCACACTACATTTCTACAATGGCAGCAGCTAGAGCAAGATAAAATCCCCCCCCCCCCCCTTTTGTATCCTCAGTCAATCTCAATCTTACTAGATCATTATTTGGGGTCTTTATAAACACATAAGTCTGAATGTATGCAGTCTTATTAAATTAAGACTTGTAATTGTGCAAGATTTATATAGACAATAGCAGACCTCAAAGGCTTCAGTATCAAGATGATCTCAACATATAAATTGATATAATCAACTTTGTATCTGGGCAGCTGAAATATCTACCGGTAGCTAGTCTAGCAGTAAATACATTTCTAAAGATAAATCGAGTGCTAGACAGCAAAGAATTTTTATAATTTTTGGAAGTATATGCTGGTTGTTCATTATTAAAAGAAAAATAAATTTGTAAGTAAAATGCCAATTTTCAACATAAGTTAAACATATATAACTCACATCTCAACCCAAAGTCATAAAATTTGATCCAAGGCCATGCATATAATGTCTATTAGATGACCAGTAAAAAAATTTTTTAAAAATACAGTGCACTTTCAATACAAGATTAAATAACCCTGCCAGGAAGCCTAAACTCAGGACTTGAAATTTCAAATTTTTGGTAAATTTTAGGTCCCCTTGCTCTGAAACATAAGTAAACATCTATTATGCCATGAAATGTCCTTGAGTAAGGGCAAGGTTTTCTTTCAATGCTTAATTATGTTAGTAAACCTTATGGCCTGTAGCTTGTACTCAGGAGATATAGATTATCATGTAAGTTTGTGCCCTAGAAGTTTAGTATTTAAAGTACCAGTAGTTTAGAGAAATTTATACAGATCTATTCTGGTTCTACTCATCAGACCACAGGAAAAGGGGAGGGGGCAAAGTTTTTTTTTTATTTCTCTTTATCTATGGCTTGAATATACCAAATTTGGTTAAAATTAGCTCAAAAGTTTCAAAGAAGTTGAAGATGACTGATGTTCAAAGTTAACCTTTCTGCAAATTTGCATGCCTGCAATACCTTATTTTTTACAAGAAGGAGAGTTAATTAAGTTCTAAGTTGAATTTAAAGTGCTCTTTTATTTCTTCGATACTTAGAAATTCTAGTAAAACTGTTAATATTATAAGCAGCATACTGAAAAATTCTATACATGTACTATTAGGATAATTCCCTCTTGAACAGGACAATTAAATACATAAAAAAATAGGAAATAACAAGACAACACATTATAGCATTTATCTATAGATTTGTCAATATATCACACTGCATACATCTGTCCTCATCTAATTAACAAAAGAACTTATACAGAAATACTAGAATTTATATTCATACAGCCATTATATTAAGTGGAATATGATACTGATATGGATTTCAGCAGTATGATAAACTCATCAGGGAAATTACTAATAATTACCGGTAAAAGAGTTCCACAAACCATTATGTCCTACAGATAGGGTTTGTTTTATTTCTTCAATATCCCATGCACCAATGGTTTTCATCTGAATTAACCATACTATAAAACTGTTTAACAAATCAAGAAATAGTTCAATTGTAATACAGATAATACAAGTACTTCCTTAGGTATAATTTCAACAATGCAAAATTCTGTCCCATAAAGTAAGTTTTCATAGGTGGGATGAAAAGGTGACAAATGAAAATTTAAAAATATTTTGATTGAGAAATCATGTCAGCCTGAAAGAATTACCCTCCTACTTCTTTTAGTTGTTCAGAAATGCATTAGGCACAGATTGGTACTCCATTCATCATAATTCCATAGTTCAGTGAGGGAGACATTCCTATATACAACAACTTTAAATTTTTCACCCACATGAATTAAATTTACAGTGTATTTTGATGATTGCATGCAGTTACTAGTATAGCTACGAGTTACATTGGTTTGACAATCCAAACTTTACAGGATCAAATTTTCTAAATATGAAAACAATTCCAATGCTAAAATAGTTCAGTCGGAGCTTTTACTACCAGGCATATTAAATTAAACATTCAAACAGAATGATTTTGTATATAAAAATTCACATACAAGAAGAGACATATTTCAAGGGTAATTAATGCTCATGCAAAGGCTCATGCAATGCTCAAAATAGAACAAACATTATGAGCTCCAAACTTATGAATAGTATTGTATTCCATCTGCTTTCTAAATTGAATATAATTTTTTTTTGGGGGGGGGGGGGGGTTGAACAAGTGCATCTGCAAGGTTAAAAAGAGTTTTAGGTACTGCATTTAAATTCCTTATAAAACTGATCTTATCCAACTCACAATTCCAAATTTAAAAATAAAATTTTCCAATTATTCATATTGAAAAAAAGTCAAGAAAATCTTCAGACATCTAGACTTCATAAAAGAGTATTTTTATGTATACTGAATAAATCTTTATACATTTGATTATTTCCCTAACCTTGAAAAATTAGTGTGTGTTGTTGGATAAATAAATCAATCAATTTGTTAAAAGATATATTAAATCCTAATACCTAATTGTTAGTATAAAACAATAGCATATGTCACTTTGACATTGATAAATAAAAGACTTTGATAGACTATAACGAATTGAGTTCTAGATATTATATAATTAACTTATCAATAAATCATACAGCTACCTGCAGTATTCATTAGACCAAATTGTGGGCATTTGCATAATAAACAAGATTGACCGGTTACAGTACCATACTGAATAAATAGTTTCCACCTTATATGTATTCTGTTCTCTGATGGATGGAAATTCCGACTACTACCATGATTACCAGTCTTAGTACACTGTTAAAGGGAATTCCAAAGTAAAGATCCGAGTCAGACATTTTCTGTCTTAAAACAAAATATATATTATCTCAACTAAGTAAAAGATCAGCTCTGGGAAAACAAAGCAACACAACATAAACTGAGGCTACTTTAGTTTGGTGCCACTTAAGGTTCTAATGTACCTCTTTCAACTAACTTCTCATTATTTATGTCATTCAATAGATGGGAGGAAGATCCAATATTTTCCCCTAGATAACATATTATGCAGAAATTTTTTCTTGGTAAGAAACAGCATAATTCTGTTATAAATGCTTAAAAATTCTTACATCATAAGGGTCCAGTCTTTTTGAGTAATCTTTTTCTCCCTCTCTAACTTCTCGAATCTTTGATATTGGCCCTATACAGATAAAAGTTAAAATTGAAAGAGTATGTTTACTTTTTTATATTATAAAAGATACTTTAATTGTAAAGAAATAAAAAAAACAATTTCACATATAATAGGGATAACAAATAGCTGTTTAACCAATTCATGAGTTTTTTTTTTTTTCTTTTTTCTTTTTTTCATTATGATAACAACAGTGATAGTTTATTAACATGATTAATGTGAATTATATTTCCAATCTAATTAAAATCAGACTTCTTAGATCCATGCTGTATACACTCTGTGTAGAGCATATATGGTGCAGATCTAAGAAGTTTGATTTTAATTAGATTGATTTGATTTCATGCAAAGATTAAGTTTTACCCAACATGCATGTATATAAATCAGATATATGTTAATTAGACCTGCTATAAAAATTATGTCTTCCATGTACAATAAATATATTTTTTCATAAAATTCATAGTTATTTTACTGAGCAAACTGAACCTACTTTAATTAATACTTAAAAAATCCATGTCGTCTCTGAGATAAATACTTGTTGTTATTGGTTTTACGCTTACATGAGATTCTCTTTTTGCGAAATTTTTTTTCTGACCCAGCGTAACGCAACACCATGTTTTCTGTATCCAGGTAAAATGTCCGGGGGTAAAGTAAGCCTCCACTTTTGACCTTGTACAGCATACTGCCTTGGCTGAGCATGTACAGGAGCTTGTCAACTGGAAAACAACATCTTAATTAGAAACATCTGACATCTAACCTCTCTCTTATGTTTTATGCACCAAATTATACATGATTGTTAGAACTAACATGCAGGCAAATGAAGTAGCCAACAAATTATTTCACTGCAAAATATATTTAACAAATGCATATCAAGATTTCAGAACCTGGTAATTTTTGCAAGTCACGTTTTCTCAGGAAGCAATCAAAATATTTTTTTACAAACTTACCAGCCTCCAAGGAAAAGGAATCTGGGTGTTTCATATCTAAAACTACCAGTTTTAATTCCAGCTATCACTAGTAAATGTCAACTTTCTTCACACTTAGTTTTCTAAGTAATCACCTAAGAGAATCAACCATGTTAACAACTGCATGGAAACAAATGCAGAATTGACACCCATAGCCTGGGACCATGTCTCCTGACAAATTACCCAGCAATCTCCCCGACAAATTACCCCTGCATTCTCCCCAGTAACTAGATTAACAGGGTAAAAACCAATAGTCAAACTTTCTACAACAGAGATCAATGGCATCAGATCCAATTTTCCTTTCCTGGAATTTAATGGGTGGTATATAAGGGGCATTAGAACAATGAAGAATATGCTTATTACAGAATTGTTACACAAATTCTTGCGGAAATTGAAATTTGGTTCTATGTACAGCAATTAAACTGAATGCATATAAAAGGTAATTACATTTAAGAGCTGTAAAATTGTTGCTCTTTTTTTCAGTTTCTGTAAATATATGATGTTGTTAGAGTATAGATGATCAATATACTTATCAAATACCCAGCTCGTACTTGACACTTTGAAACAAAAGGGTCATTAAAGTGCAAGGACTGATAAATACTTCATGATTTTTTTCTTCATGGAATTGAACACTAATAATTGGTATTCTACAATACAGCTACAAAACAAAAATCTCAATGCTGATTATATTTGCATTTTGATTTTTCTATTTCTTCATGCATTTATGCATATTGGGTGTGTAAGAATAACCATGCAATGTGTATGTAAATAACCAACAAAACTAGAAATATGTCCATTGGACATGAATGTCCTGTCCATTTGTATTACTGTATGAGGTCTGATGCATTGGGGAGGTCAAGGTAAAAAATGTCTGGACACAGTTGATATATGTATCAGTGAATAAGCTTATATAAAAATATCTTGAATTATAAGTTCTTTAAAACTAGGCTAAATGCAAAATAAAGAAAAAAAGAGGTCAAAGGGAAGGTCAAGGTCAACAAATTTTGAAGCAGTTCAATAGCACTCAAACATATCAGCTTATGAAGTTTGATTAAAATATCTTGATTTGTTTCTTTGAAACTGAGCTACCAACAAGTGAGAAAAGAGGTCAAGGTCAAAGGAAAAATCAAGGTCAAATGATGAAGTTGAATAGCTTATATCGACATGTATCAGCATATAAGGTTTGATAAAAATATCTTGAATAGTTTCTTTGAAACTCAGAGCTAAACACACATTTAAGAAAAGTGAGGTCAAGGTCAAAGCAAAGGTCAAAATCAAAAATGTTGATGATGTTGAAATCTCTAAATAATATGTATCAGAATATAAGGCTTGATAAAAACATCTTGAGTAGATTTGAGCTAAACACTTATTTTTGAAAAGTAAGGTAAAAGGAAAGGTCAAGGTCAAAGCATGTTGATGCAAATGAATAGCTCTTGTCAGTATGTATCAGTACATGAGGTGTGATAAAAAAAACCTTGATTAGTTTCTTTGAAACTGGGCTCAAACCCATATTCATGGCAGAGTGTAATAATGGCAATACAGTAGAACTTTAAAAAAAATCCCTGAATAACTAACTTAAAGATTTATTTTTAGTTTTGGCTCCCCAGAAGACTTCAGCTAGCCCAGACATGTACTGAAAAATACTGACAACAAAATCTTCATATTACAGTGCATATTAGGCAGGTCTGATTTTGTAGCTTGAAATAAAGCAAACATGCAGTTTTTAGCTGCTTTAGTCAGCAGCTCAAAAGACCTGATCACTATGTAACTACATACGTAACTACATAATATGCACATTTTATCTATACTGTGAGTTGATTTAATAAGAATGTGTTACCTGATCCAGGGCTCAGTACCCCCTTCCACTTACTCCCCACAGTGGGGGTTCCAGATTCAGGAGGATCATTGTCTGGTGAGTAACGTGATCTATGATTTCTATTTCCCATTTTAGATTGTTCACATTACCTAACCGAACAACAATCATACACAAGTCTTCAAAGACAGCTGAAAGTTGTTAATGATCCCTTATCAGGTTGATAAATTGAAACTGTTGTGTATTTGGTCCTCAAACTTTTTCCTCATGTCTCTAATGGTCCAACTTAAAGCACTGCATAAATATTCCACTTCATATTCAATGAATTCAACACTGAATTCAATGATGATCTAATATTGAATTACAAATCTTCGATAATTTTAAAGATTCCAGAGTAGCAATCAAACAATATAATTTTACTAGGTTGGGTGACTCCTTTGAAGGTGTACCATTGAGGAAGATATTTCATGTTACAAGTATAAACAACATGCCTGTCTCTACCTTATGACCTTTGTACATGTAGCATTTAAGATAGGTATTTATGGCCACTTAGATGTAGTAAATATATATATATATATATGCCTCTCCAACATGCACCTGAGGGAGCACAAATAGTACAGTGTTCCTGCTGTGATGTTTGTACAAGTTAAATACATATTTTGTAATAGAAAAGATCCGTTGAAAGGTAAATAAAGTATCAGGAATAGGAGTAAAATATGTGGATAATTCTTGGATACCACTTTTAAAGCAGGGGAAATCGAGTGTTACTTTGGTTATACACTGTACATATATCTCGTATTAGACAATACCATAACCCCTTTCAAACTCTGCATCAGGACCTTATTTCCTACACTGAGTTATAAATTGCTGACTTAACTCAAAATATATTTGAACTATTAATTCTTACTCAATAACTGTAAAAAAAAAAATTCTCCAGTTAAGCATACTATCTCTTGACGATATTAAACATTGTACCAGCTTGTAGGATTTACAATGGACTATCATCGAAAGTCAATTTAAACAAGATACTTGTCATGAATAGAATATTTTGTTGACTGATAGCTTTATGGAAAATTTAACTAACCTTCAAGCGTCTTTTCAACCCATCCCCCCCCTTAAAAAAATCATGTGGAGACCAATAAAAATATGCCAAGTTAATATATAATAATTAATAAGTTAATGCAATGTAAGTTAATGCTAATTCAACTGAGTTTAAAAACCCTTCTTATATATATTTTCAGCACAATATAATTTAATATTATATTAGCAAATATATGCTGGTTATACACAGATCTAGAGTCTTGCATTTCCAGCAAAGAAATAAAATCAAGACATTTTTAGATTTATATCATGGTATTGGCCTATAAAGTATACATATGTTATGTATGGCTGCATACTTCATATATTTTTTTCAGAAATCTGTCGAATTATTTTGAAAGCTTCCTAAGAACAATATATAGAATCAAGTAAGGCATTCCATGCAGCTTTCATATTTAATTTACTTTTATGAGTAAACATTTAAACTAGATATCATATTCTATGCTACAAAACATGCAATTTGCAAATATCAAAAGTGGCAACGAGGACTGCACATGCAAGTCTCTTACTTTACGAGCATTACTTCAGGTAGTTTTATAGAACATCAACTAAGGTACGAGGATTGTTAGAAAAGTTCGCGGACAAGTTCTATTGTGAGCGCACTTTTTGCATGAAATCAGTAAAACTCTGCAGGTAAAAACTGTACGTATTTTCCAATTAATATGCAAAAATTTGGTGTTTTCCGATGATCTTTAAAAAATATACAGCCAAAGTATTTAGATAAAACATGCTTCACGGAGCATGCTGCTTTTTCTCACTTTTATATTTCAGAGACATAATTTTGAAATTAAAAATTGCACTGTTGTAGCGCATTAAGATTTATGATATTTCACCTATCGCTAGATATTCATGAAACGTTATTTGCGAAATTTTGATTTAAATTGGAGGAGTTATGACTGTTTTATCACTAATTATAGATGATCAATGCGTAAAAACAAAGCCAAAAATGGTAACGTCATTGAACGTCTTGGAGCACCGAACTATTAAAAAATTATGTGTGCAGACAGGAAAATGCCCGCAAGAGACTAAAATGTTTTAAGATGATGCTGGGGATGGCTTACACGTATCTAGTACCAAAGTGTTCAAGTGGTAGCAGCTTTGTAAGAATGGAAGGATGGATATTTTTGATTATCATCTCCTGCGATACCCCCAATATCCTGCTCATTGCATGGACGTTGCGCCTATGGATTTTGCATTGTTTCTCCTATCTGATCGTTGAACTGCGTAGATATTATTTTAAAGATCTCACTAATATCCGATACGCCACAAAAGACATAAAAAAATATGTAACATGTCTTGATATACTTATTCAATTTATAAGTCAGAAAAAGACACGAAAAGTCGATAGAAATGAAAGATATTTAGAACTGTGAAAAAGCTTCACAGGTTTGGAATCAGGTTGTCGCGTCACCTAACGTCATAAAACGTCAAGTGATTGCTCCGTGAATCCTATGGCCGCGCAGTAAAAATCAAAGTATGTTTTCAAAATTTTAGTAAATGGATCTGATTTTTTACATACTAATAAACTAAAGATAAGAATTTAATTAGAAATACATCATTCTTCAAAGTTTGCAAAATATTTCCTGTAAATCAACGTGTCCGCGAACTTTTCTAACAACCCTCGTACATGGACATCTCTAAGAGATAGTGTTGTTGTTTTTTGTTTTTTTTTCAACATCATATTATGACTTGATGAGTACACCACACTCCATGGTCAAATGTAGAATGAACATTCTCTTATTCAAACATTTTCTTCTGGTTAATACTTAAATAATGCAGTTTCTTTTTTTTAAAGAAATTCAAGCATGCCTAATTATATACAGTAATACAAACATGTATATATATAAATTTAGAATTCAAGAAAAACATTTTTTTTAGAAAAACAAAGCACATTCTATACACTGTATCTGCAAAAATTTGTAAAATTACACAAAAGTTTATAAATGGGGTTTATACGTACATCACTTATCTGCCCAAGCATGTACATGGCACACAGAAATGTTTGATGATACTTCACAACAGATTTTTACAATGATTTAATTCTTATGATGAGGGGAGGGGGGATGTGATGTTAGAAAATAACAAAATATGTCCTGTTGGCATTTCCTTTCATTCCCTTTAAAACATGTATATATATAACTTCAAATTTACTTAACTATTACTGAAAGTAGACATATATAAGTATCAAGTATCAGATTTAATTCATTCATGTTGGCAAAAATATTAGATTGATACTGAAGACTATTACACCAGGTGTAATTCAATTTTATATCTCTTTCAACACTGATGATTTATCTGTTAATATGGCTACAAATGTCATCTGCGATAGATCATATATTTTTTAAATACCAGCCCAGGTATTTTTTTTATTTATAGTTTGTATACAAACACCCTAGACCTTCTCTCAATTAAGGCGGCTACCAAACTACAGGGTTCATGCATTGTATACTATTCATGCATATCAAAATGCAGAACACTATATTAATTAAACTTTGATAAATTTGCCTACCTCCTATAATTCCAAATTTTGAATCTACAACATGGAATATGAGTAATTTACATACCATGTTGGTTTGACATGTCTTGGCCTTTTTTAGGATCCATTATTGTGTTAGCCATTTTTAATCACTCCTCATAATATTTCATTTCTGACCCTTTTCTGTGTTGACTTTTCAATATCTATCTAGGGGGACTTTATCTTGGTTTACAAATATTTATGTGAACTGTTTGCTTATATACAACAACATATTAATTGAAAACAATGTATGTAAGCAATTGCTAAGTTGAGTACTGTATTCATATTAAGCTTGCATTACCCATACACAACCTTATTTTGGAAATTAATTATTTTTAAAAAGTTCTGATTTTTTTAACAATAATAATTTTCAACATGGTCAAAATATGTTTTAGTTTTAGTGTTGACCCATTAATTCATATACCAGCAACATTAAAGTAAAACAAATCGGAGACTGAATGAAAGAGTAAAAGAAATTGTGCATTCTTTTTTACTCCTCATTTCCTACAGCTGTGTTCATTTAATTGCTGTTTAAAATAGCTGTGCCATATGCATTACTCAGGGTCTATCTACTAACTAGGTCATTCTATCAAATTCCACAGTTCAAAATCTTAGAACATTTTATTGGCATATATGCAAAAAATCCAGAGAAAAAAATTGAGTTTTAATCTTTGTTAAGGTCAGACGACACCTTCCTTAATAATATATATTTTTTCCAAGAATTTGTCATTGAAGTACTGCTAGTTTAACAAGTTCCCTAACAAAAAATTGAGGTATTTACCAGGCATTTGTGCAAGGTACCAGAGGATGTTGTTTCCTATTAATAATATAACCCTTTTTGAAAGCACTTGAATTGTCAGTATCAGAACTTTTATTGTATGTATTTGCTTAGACATTATTTGCTTAGACATTTTGAAAACAGTTTAGAATTCAGAAGATAATTTTAATATCATGAATATTTCTTATAAATTACAAAGAGAAACATTAGAACAGATATTTGCTGAACATGTCGTCAGACCTTAATTTAAAATTTAGTCTTACAAAAAATAAACTGGACAAGCACTTTTTGCCAGTAGTGACTGTTCAGTAAAATGACTATATGCTGCATCATATATCTGAAGATTTGCTGTCAAAGTGTTTCTTGAAAACTGGACATGACAGGACCACACCTCTTGAGAATTCACCCCTCCTAACCTGCCTCCACAGAATACTAGTGGAAGCAGGGGTGGATCAAGAATTTAAATTGTTCTCATTTTCCTCAATTTCAGCATTGATGCAGGTCACTTAATTTAATGTCATCTGAAATTAAACTACATGTCACTTTCAAATACATGACGGTGCACTTAAACCTGATAATTGTTGCTGTAAAGTGTGTATAAAAAGAAGAAATATGTCAGTCTTTAAAAAAAATAATATAGACAAATACAGTAAGATGGACCCCCAATCATGATCAGCGTATATTGCCATTAAATGACAAGCCTATTTCTACAGTATAGATATAAAACCTATAAGTATGTCACATACATCAGCACTTACATATATATACACAAAGATCTACTTAGCTTAGCTTTATAGTTGATCCACTTTTAACATCAATTTGTAAAATATCATTCATGTTTTTATTTTAGCAATAGTTGGAGAAAAATCAAATTAAAAGTAATGTTTATCATGTTTATGGTAGAGAGAAAATTATTCATCTAATCAGATTTATATGAAACAACAATAATCTCTCTCTCTCTCTCTTGGACCATTGCTTGTGAAAATTTGTAAATAGTTGGCAATATACTCGTTCACTAACTATATTGTCCTCATTGATTTTCTCCGACACTACTTTTAAATAATGTTGACATATACCCTATGTAAAAATCTTTTATACAAAATATATGCAAACATATATGACAATTGTAAGAGAAATTAATTGGCACACAATTAATATCGTTCTATTATACAACATTTTTAAACAAATAAGTTATGTGGCTAAAGAGTTATTATAGAAAGAACGTTCTATCGTTAAACCAATGTTATGTCAAATAAAAACAAGGCTTATACATACATGTGTAGCCACAGGCATAACTTTGTTATCACATCTACCTTTCATCAATTCGGATTCCTGAATTTTCGAATACCCCCCCCCACCCGCCTAGCTCTCTCTCTCTCTCTCTCCCTCTCTAAGAGACACACGTTTCTAAACTAAAAATCAGAAAGATGTACTGAAGTATAATAAAAAATTATACAATTTCTGCATTTTGCGGACGCGGGAACGAAATACTGTCAGTGGTGGTGCCTGGTGCATGGTGAATGATTAAGAGTGTGGCATAATAATATTAATCTGTTCACGTTAAGAAAATAAGTGACTTACTGCTAACTTTTCCATGTTCTTTTCCCGGGTTTCCACTCATGTTCCCCTCCATCACTAACTGATAATGTGTCGAACGAGCATAAATCTCCAAACTTTATGCCACCTTGCATGCACCTTCCGTTACACTCTAAAAATATCTGGCATTTATAAGTTTGTTGTCGTACCAAATCTCGGCGAAGCGAAACGTCCCACAGCCCACGGCCATTTTTGTCGAATCAGTGACCCGTAAATAAAGTGAAAACTCCTGATTCACTCAAAATCATTAGCCTATCTGTAATATCTATGATTCTCTTCTCGGAACACATTTGAGGATCACAGTACTTCTACACGAATTCAATATGATTGACAAAGTAATCTTAGGCAAATTGTTGTTTAATTTTTAGCCATAGTCATATTGAAGTCTTTATCAGAGACAGGATAGTATTTTTTGTATAGATCTAGGCCCTACCTAACCATTTCCTAATGATGTATTTTTTAAAAACAGATAGACCTATAATTATATTAATTAATGCACGTTATTCTCTCAATCCCACTTTACCTCTGAGTCGCTTTGATTTACACTTGCCCCTACTGCATGTGCTCAAAATGACATGACGCAAATCAAACATGACGTCACGATTGCAGAAGAGTTCTTAATTAAATCTAGAGTTTCAAGCTTTTCTTTATGAAAAAAGAGGTGATCAAAACTGCATCGACATCGAGGGTGATACTAGCTGCAGAACGTACTGCTGCGTTATATGGTTTTATATTTTAGTCTTGACCATAACGGCCAAAAACTAAAATATAAAACCATAACGCTGAAGATAGGGTGATACTTGGTTCCAGTATTTTTTTTCAGATCTTACTTCTATTTCAGAAAATACCAAAAAAGAGAAAAAAAATTAGATACTTTAGAGGAAAAGCTAAAAGTTAATAAAACATAATAATTGCAGTTTTCCCATGATAGATAAAAGAAGAGGCCCATGGGTCACATCGCTCACCTGAGCACACTGGCTAGGAAGAAGCAGAAATTAGTCCAGTATTTTGAGAAGTTTTAAGGGGGGGGGGGGGCAAACTTAACTTTACACTACCTCAGGATGCTTCTATATCAGTATTACTAATCATGGCTTTGCTGTTCTTAAAAAGAAGAATTGTTAAGATTTTTTTCCTCTATGTATTCCTATGTAAAACTCTGATTGGTCATTGTGGCCCCACCCTACCCACTGTAAATTTGAATAAATTTGAATCTACACTACCTGTGGATGCTCCTATAATAATATGACTAATCATGGTTTTGCTGTTCTTGAGCAGCAGATTTTTTTCAAGATGACGATGATTCTTATGCAAAACTTTGACCCTCTGTTGTGCCCCAACCCCCGGGGGGGGGGGGGGGGGGTCATGATTTGAACAAACTTGATTCTACAATACCTAAGGTTGCTTCTGTATATATATGACTAATAATGGCTTAGTTGTTCTTGAGAAGAAGATTTCAAAGATATTTCCTAATGACCTATATGATCAGGTTCTTACAAGGGATATATAGGTTTTCCTTTTACTCTGTCTGAGTTAATGATTGGACAGCTACAGTGTATGTCTGGGGGTATATCACATAGTACTTAAATTTTCTCTTTCATCTAGAGATGGGGACTGGGTAAGGTACTACTTGCACCGTGTTTCTCCCCTAGGTTCCCTTTGATAGATGAGAACCAGATGTCTCAATTTCTTCAGATTTACTACACCAAGAACAATTAAAGCATTGAAGTCTATGGAGCAATTTTGTAAAAATAAAAATTCAAATAATAAGAATGTCAATAAATACTGTAGTGAAAAAATGCACTTAAACACATTAGAAATAGAATGACAATTGAAATTTTTTTTTTTACCGGGTAAGATTTTTAAAACCGATTTTTTTTATTAAATAAAAACAAAGGGAGATAACTCTTACCAAAATTCAAGGTCATAAATTAGGACACATCCCACCCTTACATGCTAATAGTAATAAATGGGAATTATGTCTAAATTTACCGAGTATTCAACACCTACACATTTGTTTTGTATTCAATTTCACTGAATCTTTTGCTATTGGGATGGAATACCTAATCTTAAATTCTTTATTGCTGATTCATCATCCAACTTCTTCTGCTACCTTTTGAATGATTGTGGATGTCTGACTTTCCCAAAGCTTTGCCTTATATACCCTTAGTCTATTCCAATGGTTGTCAGGTCATTCCACTATTTGAAGTCCAATGTGCTTTACTCCAATGTCACTTAACCATTACACCTGTATATTCATATGTAAACCGTGACCCACTGTTGTGGCCCCGCCCTACCCCCAGGGGTCTTGATTTGAACTTTATTCTACATTACCTGAGGATACTTCTGTATTAATATGTCTGATACTGGCTTTTTAGGGATATTTCCTATATATTCCTATGGTAAACTTTGACCCACCCCCCCCCCTGTTGTGGCCCTGCCCCACCCTTAGGGGTCATGGTTGGAACAAACTTGAATCAACACTATACCTGAGAATATTTCTGTAATAATATGACTAATCATGGCTTTGCTGTTCTTGAGAAGATTTTTAAAGATATTTCTTATATATTCCTATGGTAAACTTTGACCCCCCTGTTGTGGCTCTGCCCCACCCCCAGGGGTCATGACTGGAACAAACTTGAATCTACACTACTTGAGGATACTTCTGTAATAATATGACTATTAATGGCATTGCTTTTCTTGAGAAGAAGATTTCTAAAGATATTTCTTATATATTCCTATGTAAAACTTTAACCCCCTCTTGTGGTCCCGCCCTACTCCCGGGGGTTATGATATGAAGAAATTTAAATTTAGAGTATGTAATGAAGCTTTCACGTAAGTTTCATCTTTTCTTGCCCAGTGGTTCTTGAGAAGAAGATTTTTAAAAGATGCCACCAAATTTTTACAAATTCTTAATTATCTCCCCTTGAAAGAGGGTGCGGCACTTCCTGTGTACAAACTTGAATCCCCTTTACATAAGGATGCTTTGTGGCAAGTTTGGTTGAAATTGGCCCAGTGGTTCTTGAGAAGAAGTCGAAAATGTAAAAAGTTTACAGACGAGAGACGGACGCCGGACACTCTTTGAACAGAAAAGCACACTTGAGCCTTCGGCTCAGGTGAGCTTAAAATTACAAACACGGAATTACAAGAAGCATTTTCTAAACTTAAGTTGAAAAAACACCTGTATTAGACAATGATTTCAATGAAATGCTTAAAGCATCACAACACTTTGTCAATCCTTGCTTGTTGAAACTATTTAATGCTGTGTTTACATCTGGAGAGTATCCTTCAAAACGGTCAGAAAGTTTTATTTGTCCTCTATTCAAATCTGAGGATCCAAACAAGCCAGAAAATTATAGAGGCATAGCTAAATAGTAATAGTATTGGAAAATTATTTAACTTAATATTGAACAGCAGACTTAACAATTATTTTCTAGAGAATGATGTCATTCATAAATCACAGAATGATAGGTCTCTCCAAGAAATCTCGCACTTCAGATCATATCTTTGTGTTGAAATGTTCAATCAACAAATATTTCAAGACTGGTGATAAGAAACTATACGCCTGTTTTGTTGATTTTTGAAAGGCATTTGATAAAGTTATTCATGTTGGCATTATGTATAAACTACATGTACAATCAAATGATATCAGTGAGTATTTTACAGAATTTTAAAATCTATGTATAAGAATGATAGATTATGTGTGAAAGTAAATGATAAAATAACATTTTTTTTTTTTTCACATCTAGGGTTGGATTAGACAAGGTGATCTCCTTAGCCCAAGTTTATCTAAACTCTTAATAAATGACCTCCCAAGTATTCTGGATGATAATTCTGTCCCTGTTACTCTACATAAAGAAAATATTTCATGTCTTATGTATGCAGATGACCTTGTTTTAATATCCATTACGAAATCAGATCTTCAACATAAACTCAATCTCCTCGATCCATGATTATTGTAGGGAGTGGTGTCTAGAAGTAAACATAAAGAAAACAAAAGTACTAATTTTTAACAACTCGGGTAGATTATACTGAAGGAAGCATTCCATCTTGGTAATGATATTATAGAATGTGTTAAACAATACAATTGTATACTAGTAAATATCTGGGGATAACTCTTGAAAACAATTGAAAGGTAAATATTGAAGCAAAAAAAAAAAATGTATCAAAAAAGCTTAAAGCACGCTTCAAATATTATAGAGATATAAAGAATGCTAATCCCTCTATAAATTTTTTTTTACATATATTGATCACTGTATTAAACCTATAGCTTTGTATATTGGCTGTGAGAAAAAGGAAAAATGTCCCTCTTTTTGATATATTAAAAGATTGGGAAGTTGAAAAACTCTATATGAAATTATGTACATATATTATGGGGGTATCGAAAACTTGCACAAACGTAGGAATCTATTCTGAACTGGGAAGGTGTCCATTATATATAGATATGTTAAAGCAATTTTTCATGTACTGGTATAAACTATCTTCATCTAGACCATATATATCATTTAAATTACTGGACCCCACCATTATCACTACGAAATAGGTGTTTTTCACGTTTGGGGAATGATTTTACTTTTTTTTTTTTTTTTTTTTTGCTTGTCAAGAAATGTTTGGGTTGGAATTTTTTTTGACTGGAATTGACCCCCCTGGAAAAAAAAATCCAGGATCGGCGCCTAATACATGTATGACTGTAAACTTAAGATGTAGATATTTATACTTATAGAAATGTAGAAATAAACTTATATATGTATATATTTATATATAAATAAACTTATATATATATATAGGATCTCCCATGATTTGTAGTTGGATATGATTTTTATCCAACGAGTTGTGTGTTTTTTATCCCCGAGCCTTGGCGAGGGGATAAAAACACACAACGAGTTGGATAAAAGTCATATCCAACTACAATTCATGGGAGATTCTTTTTATCCCATGTTTAATACTTCACAACCAATGTTTTACACTGTTTTATATAAGGACTCCACTTTATTTTACTTCATCGCGCTAACGCAAAAACCATTGTGACGTCGCAACTGTGGATTATGAAAAATTTATCCAATGAGTCATATCCACGGGATAAAGGGGTAAACATGGGATAAATATATATATATATATATATATATATATATAT